CATAGAGGGTACTTACACAAGCCTAAGTGGTGGAGCCTATTGCTCCTAGGCTGCAAACCTGTACAGCATTTACTGTATTAAACACTGTAGGCAACTGTAACACACTGGAAAGTATCTGTGTTTCTAAACCTTGGAAAAAGTACAATTAAAATATGATATAATCTTATGGGACCACTGTCATATATTCAGTCCGTTTTTGACTGAAACATCATTATGTACTATATGACTGTATTACATAAGGCAAAAGAACGAAATTACTGATCCAATAATTGGTATCTTTCTCCTTAGCTATATTGACAAAACAACAGAACTTATGAAGAAAAGGAGAATCATTCAACCTTTGCAGTAACAGTTCTGTACCTTGATTTTGGTGGTTGTTATGCAATCTACACACCTGTGATAAAATGGCATAGAACTATACACACACATTGTACGGACGTCAATCTCCTGGTTTTACTATTGTATTAAAGCTATGTAGGATGTAACCAATAGGGGAAACTGGGTAAAACGTACAGTGCCCTCTCTACTATTTTTGCAGCTTCCTGTAAACTATAATATGCCAAAAGCATCCTAAGGACTTGCCAGCACTTCAAGGGCTCACAATAATCCTATGAAGTAGCTACTATTTTTATCCCCAGTCTATTGATGGGGAAGCTGAGGTACAGACATTTTAAATGATTTGCCCAAGGTCACATAGCTAGTAACTGGCAAAGTCAGGATTTGGACACAGGTGCTATGACTCTAAATTTTTGATTTCTGTGAAAGTCTGAGGAGCCACTAAAGGATCACAGGCAAAGTATGGCTGACAATCAAATTCACGTTTTATTTTGGCAAGATACTCCAAGTAGGAGTTTAGCATGACTAATGAAAAAAACTTCAAACAAGATTAGTTAAGATACTGATGCAATAAACCAGAAATGATGAAGGCGTGAAATAAGAGAACATTAATAGAAAGAAATGTATACAAAACATGAAACCAACTTGACTTCACGACTGGATGAAGAGAGAGAACTTAATCCAATTTCAAGGCTTGAGTGACTATACCCAAGCCAAGAGTTTCATGTTTTAACAATACTATTACATTATCAAAATCTTTTTTTTTTTTTTTTTTTTTTTTGAGACTGAGTCTCGCTCTGTCGCCCAGGCTGGAGGGCAGTGGCGCAATCTCAGCTCACTACAACCTCCACCTCCCAGGTTCAAGCGATTTTCCTGCCTCAGCCTCCCGAGTAGCTGGGATTACAGGCATGCACCACCACACCCAGCTAATTTTTGTCTTTTTAGTAGAGACAAGGTTTTGCCATGTTTGCCAGGCTGGTCTCGAATTCCTGACCTCAGGTGATCCGCCCGCCTTGGCCTCCCAAAGTGCTGGGATGACAGGTGTGAGCCACCATGCCCAGCCTAAATTATCAAAATCTTAAATCAGTTCAGTCTTAAGTAATCCCTGTTTCAGCAGTAACCACAGCATTTCACTTTCTTGCTATAAAAATTGTGACTAGATACAAATTAAAGTTACTGCCACTTGGCAACTCCACACTATTTAATATGTACACAGTAATGAGGCTATTAATATTTTCAATACACCACATGTGGACCATCTCTGGACATAAGATAAACAAAGCAGCAGCCAGAGAGTATATTCAGCATGTGGAATTTAGTAAACATTTTTTATCACAATCCACACTCTAAGAAAAACCTAGTGCCCTTTGACTGAATTAGAATCATTTTACCACTTAACAGGAAGGAGTCTAGTGCCACCCATTTTAAGGGCGAAAAAGTTAAAATAATTGATCACTTCAAAGCTAAAATCAGACTATTGTTACCTTTTTTTTTTGTAAATGTTAAAAAAAAAAAAACTATAGCCTAAGAATCTGTCAAATATTGCATTAAGATTATAATAGCCACTGGAAAAACTTAATGTAACTTCAACCTTATTATCACTACGAGGGTAAAAACCATGCTAAAGCCAGGGCCCTTCCAGGAGCTAAATGCTCTTGGAAAGTGTCCAAAACAATGTTATAGTAAATTTCCAACTTGTTTCATCTAAGGACAAGGAAAACAAATTATCTAAAGCACTGGATTATATTTGAATACACTGCAACTAAAAGTTTTACATCAAATAATCCCATGGAAAAATCTTTACTCTGTACCTATCATGGGCCCTAAATTCAGTAAGGGCAATGTGGGGGAATAGCTGCACCTAGGAATCCATGCTATGTGTTACTTAGTAGTATTTTGAGAAAACTTTCAATATCGATAGCTTCCATTTTGAGAGAACTATATTTTAACAAAATCTGTGAAAATAATGGCTTGGAATGACACTGAAAATCTCCTTAGCTTCTGTAATGTGGACAACATGTGCTGGTTACTCTTTGGTTTCTAGCTTCACTCAAAGTTCAAGGTCTCCTGCTATTTGTGGCTCAGATTCTTTCTTATGGGAGGCATGTCTGATAGATATATACCAATTTCATAAATAAACAAACATAAAGGTATTTTATGTGTGAGTGCATGTGTGGGTGTACATATATAACACTCTAGACAAGCCATGCTTTTCAAAACTCACAACAGTATTTTAATAAATTACAGTTCTACTAAAGTGAGAAGTAAAAGCCAACCGTTAACAGAAAAATCTAGCCAAAGAATAACAAAGTGAGCTACAAAATTAATTCCAGAAGCCAAAGAACTAAATAATGCAGGTTCACAAAACAAACGAAACCAACACATTTTCAATGAGCACTATTCGGTTTATCTATAAATGTTCATGTATTTAAAAAGTTGAGTAGTACGTCAACTTTCACTTATGACAACATTCTACATAAATACCTAATTCCCAAGAGAAATAATTCAGGTTTAAAGAGCTGTATACAAAAATAAGAGAAGAGCTACAATGAAAAGAACAGAAGCAAATTACACAGTAGCTGCCTGAAACACTAAATGTGGGATGTACTGAATACAGTGTACAGGAGACTCAAAATGCACATATTAAGCCTAAATAGTCCCAATGTATTCAATATCTATGAAACAAACAATAGAATTTCAATCAACACTTGCCACAAAAATTGCCATAAGCTGGTTGCTTCTATTTTTTAAATGATGTAACAATGACAGATTTGTTGCCACATATTTTGTAACTTACCAACGTTGAGCTATTAAGTTTCTATTAGCAATGTTTTAACTGAGGATTTGGGCTAGAAGACTGAAATCTGTTCGTACAGCAGTGAAAACGAAGCCTCACTAAAGGCATTCAACTTCCAGCTAAAGGCTCCTTTCCTTGATGCATATTTGTGATCATAAATAGTGTTCACTAAATGCAGTACACTAAACTAGCAACAGATTAGTTAAAAGTAGCTTAGATTTTCAACTTCCCATAATACAAGCAACATCTTTAGAAGCAATCACATTAAAATAAAAGTGTCTTTCACAGTTACGCGATGAAATTTTAAGCTGGACAAGCACCAATGCCCTGGTTTTCTACTTTATTCGTAAACCATATGACTCCCACATGCTGAGGACGTTTTATGCTTTAACCTGCAGTAAAGGCTTTACATCATTTTAATGCCCAGTACTTAAAATGCAACGGAATCACCCCCAATGAATGCTAGGAATATATTTGGGTTACACGTGATGATTTTGATCCCACTAGTAGTCAGAAAAAGTTTAATGAACGCTTTTCCCAGTAAATAACTTTGTACTTCCATGGACAAAACAAAAAGAAATTTTGAGGTAAGGGTGGATGGAAGAGAAAATACTCATGCTTTCCAATTCAAAATATTAACAAACATGTAGGTTTTTTACTTCTAAAATAACTATTAAACATTTTTAAAAACCTCCATGACTATAATAATATGCTTCAGAAAAATAAAACAAAACACTCCGTTAAGTAGTTATGTAGGATTTTTCTCCAGCTTTTGCAAAGTAGTGTTTCAAGTTAAGACACAAGCTTAAAACAAATGATTCTGAAAATCCTGGTCTATCACAAACTAATGGCTTAGTTTGGAATCAACATATTGTATATTCTACATCTGAAGACTTAGAAACCACAGTTTTTTTCTATTCAGGTCAATTGAAGTATACATGCTACCTCATTCTTTCAGTTCCCCTTATCTGTGTGAATGATCAACAGCAAAAATTTCAAATAAATGGTTAGAGGACATACCATAAAATTATACACTATCAATGTGGTTTTCAGTTATCATAGAATCTAAAGGTCCCTTACTGATGACAGGTGGCAGATTCAAGAATTGATAAGTTTGGGGAATATATTCAACTCTCAACAGTTGAAATAGAAATTATGCCAATTTCTTTATTTTAAAAATCCGTTACACTAAAAAAATTGTCACATAAGAATTATTGAAGAACTTAATAAGGAAGTACAAAATATGTGATCTTAAATTCTTCTAGTGTGTTATTAAATATTAAAAACTGTGAGAAATATGTTGCAATCCTTTTCTTTTTAACTCTAATTGAAATTTGAAAAAAATTTAGAATTCAAATTTCCCAACTTTGACTTAGAAACATAATTCAACTAGATCAAGCAACTTAATTGTACAATTTTAAAATAAGTTTAATGCAAAGCACTGCAATCCTGATGTGATAATTACCTGCAGCATAAATGCAAAATAATAAATGCATTTAATTATGCATTTTATGGTAAAACCACAAAAAGCACAACCATATTAGCACAAACTAAATAAAAAGACACAGGCGGTATTATGTCCATCAGAACGAGAAATGTCGTACTAAGCCAAGAAAGAAAGGAAGGACTTAAGGAAGGAAGGAGGGAAGATAGGAAGGAAGGAAGAGGGAAGGAAGGAAGAGGGAAGCCAGAGGTTTCTATACCTGCAGGATCCCAGAGAAATGAGCTAGTCACATCACTCTACCCTATATGATACATGGGTGATTTTTTTTAAGCTTCAGTGTAAATAAAAGCAGTAATCACTTTATACCATTCAACTTTACACAGTGTTATCTTTAATGCCAACTGCATTCTTCCCTTTACTCACCCAATGCTTCTTCACTGTTCCATTCCACCAGCTTTCAGGCAAATGCAAGACAGAACAGGGTGGAGTAGAAGAAAAATACAAGCAGCGCCTTTCCGCGCACCCCCTCTCCCGCAAATAATTTCCAACAGTTCTTCCTACTACGAAAATAAGTCGCCCTATCTCAAGATACACAGCAGACATTCCGTCTCTTTAGTAGACATACACAGACGCGTACACAATCCAGCACTCCCGACCCCCATCCCAGGCCCCCCGAATCTTCAGCAATTATTCATCTAATTCACACGAAGACAAGATACCTCTACCTACTGTTTCGGGGTGAAGGTGGGTGGAGGACGCCTTTCAAAGTAGCCCCAATAGTGTTACCAAAACACGGTTCCGGAATAAAATATTAAGAAACACTTTTCCTTTTCCACCTATCTACCGACTTGAGGATGCAAAAAACCCATCTCCACATCACACCATCTCTACAGTTCTCGTGGCTGGAGTTTGGGGTGGAGATTCGTCCAGGGGAGGGGGCGGAGGCGAGTGGCGGAGTGTGAGCGGGCGACGGGACACGAGCGAGTTGCTGAGCCCGGCTGCCCCGCACCACGTCGCCAGCCCAAATGCCCAGCACCAGGACCTCACGCCCGCCCCTCAGCCCAGGCCCAGAGCGAGCAAGGACTCGCGCTGTCTAACTTCTCATCTACAGACACCGCTCCAAAACAAGCAGAGCACACAAGTACACGTCACACAGTTTAAACACACTTCCACACCCCAAACAAACCAACACACCTGCAAATCACCTCACAGTTTCTCGAACTCCACACCAGAGACCCCACCTCCAGGATTCAAACCTTCCGCTCATAGTAGAGGAAACCAGAAGAGTTGGGGGGCAGTCGACGCCTTTCCAGGACCGGCCCCCACGAACTGCCCCACCCCACAGCCCGCGTCTGGATCACCCACTCGGAAGCCCCCTGCTTCCTCCCTCCTCTCAATCCGGCCGCTAACGAGACCCATCCCCAGCGTCCGCTCACTTCCTCCCCAAAACCCCTCCAAAAAAAATTGTTTTAAATGAAGAGAAAGAAGTGAGGAAAGAGACTTGAGGTTGTCCGGCTTCAAAACCGCTCGACTCACCTCAGAATCCTCGCTGAGTTCTCTCCGCCCGGCAGAGCCCCCTCCCCAACGTCCCAGTACGAAGGGCTGAGGTAGGGAGGAGGGAAAGCGGGAGGGGGAGGGGTGTCTTCCGCGTGGGGCGCCCGTCGGGAGGGGACTGGGGAGGGGATGAGGCCGGCGCAGGAAGAGGAGAAGGGGGAGGGGAGGCCCCTATCTCCCAGTCTCCCCCTGAAAAACCTCCCTTGTCTCAATCACATCAGACTGACTGTCTTTGTCTGGCTGACAACCGCCATATTGATATCAACAGCCCCGCTCCCACCTGCTGCCGCCCGGCGTCCCTGGGAGTTGTAGTTCCTGCCTCCCCCGAGTAAAAGCGCGGAGCCCGGCGCCTAGAGGCCCAAGAGAACTACAACTCCCGGCAAGCCCCGTGCCCATCCGCCTTCCCTTTGGGAGGAGGGGAAAGGGGACCCGGAGCCGTCGGGACTACACATCCCAGAACACCATGGGCTCCAGGCGCGTAATGGGGACATGATGTCATGCTGGGGTGGAGAGGGAGGATGCATTGGCGGCGGGGATGAATTTGAGCTGACGGAAGGAGGCGTCCGCAGAGGAAAGGGAGGAAAAGGAAAGGCGACCACAGTTCCCATGGTGCCTGGAGGGGAGACTACATTTCCTATGATTCCCCTGGAAGGGACGTGAGAATGAAAGACTGCAAGTCCCGCGATGCTCTGGGCTGGCAGATGGCGGAGATTGCACCGGAAGACGCTTCCTGCGTTTGAGGAGTTCAGTGACTGCTACTGAACCACCAAAAGTCCATTATGAAACTGGTGAGTCTTCGCTCCTAGGTCAGAGGGCAAAGTTGATGCTATATCCTTTTGGACCTCTTTTTTTCCTACTTTGGGCAGGGAATCGTCACACAGGAGGGATAGCAATTAAGTAGCTGGAAAGTGGAGTGGGCTAAAGAAAGCTGCTTTTTGTTGTTAAGAAGGCTTGAATTCCCTCTCCCGCCCCCCTATCCCTCCCAGGAGGTCTTCTTTCACTCGTTGGTGGGTCTTTTTGTTCAGACAAGACGTTGACTCTGTCACAGTCCTTCCCCTATGAACTCTGTGGGCTCTGTTAACCAGGTTTGGACGTCCTGGCTCCCACGTTAGGGTTATAATAGGCTGTTAACAACCCCTTTCCATTCGACTGGCGCTTGAGTAGCCTGTCTCCCTACTGTTGTTGAGACTTTGGCTAGATTTAAGCAGACAGTAAAAAAACATTCGGCAGAACGTAATCACTTATTAAATATCCTGTTGTATAGACTCCTCACTGCCCTTGGAATTCAGGACGAGGTCAGAGTGTGGAGAAGTTGAGTCTTAAACCCTAACTGGGATTTAGATGGGGAGAGAAGTGTTATATGGTATTCCATTCTAAGACTGTAGGGACTGCATGAGCCAAGTCTGGATGAAGTGTGCCGGTATACCTGAAGTCTTAACATCACACAACTCAAGCACCTGGCTCATGGAGACGTCTCAAACCTTTCATTTGAGCCATTTGACTCATTGTGCATACAGGTCTGACTAGTTTATTCCAACTCGATTCAATTAGTAATAACATAGTGTAGAAAGGCAGGTGTGAAAGTCTCTTTATCAACCTTTTAAAATCCATATTCGTGCAGCCAAGTTACTGTCAAGCTTTACTTGAGGCAGGAGAATCGCTTGAACCCGGGAGGCGGAGGTTGCAGTAAGCCGACATCGCGCCACTGCACGCCAGCCTGGCGACAGAGCGAAACTCTGTCTCAAAAAAAAAAAGTTTATTTTACCATTTATATAATTATCTGAATATGCTTTTCCAAACCACACAACCCACCTACCCTCATCTTGATAATCATTGTGCTACAGGCATATACTCTGCAAAGCCAGCTGTTTTCTGCGTAGTCAAAGTGTTAAAAGTGGATTCAATTCTGAAATTGTCTCCATGTAAAGATGTTTATATAAGAGGAAGGATGCGTGTCACTAAACCTTGAGAATAGCAATTTACCCCGGGTCAGTGTGCTATACATTTAAGAATGCAGAATTAAAAGTCATAGCAGTTGCCCTACAGAAGCGTGCAACCTAAGAAGATTAAAAGTAAACCAAAGTTATTATTTATTTATTTAAAGACAGGGTCTGGCTCTGTGGGGCCCAGACTGGAGTGCAGTGGCGCGATCTCAGCTCACTGCAACCTCCACCTTTTGGGCTTAAGCGATTCCTCTCGTCTCGGTCTCCACATGTAGCTGGCAATACAGGCATGCACCACCACACCCTGCTAATTTTTTTGTAGAGATGGGATTTCACCATGTTGCCCAGGCTGGTCTCAAACTCCTAGGTTCAAGGTATCTGCCCACCTCGGCCTCCCAAAGTGCTGGGATTACAGGCATGAGCCACCGTGCCTGGTCCGAAATTACAATTCACTGTGTTCATGGTAAAATAGAGGCGTGTTCAGGGTTTTGGGAATTGAGAGAAGATTGGGGAGGTCAGGGACAGCTTCCTCGAAAGGTGACTGACTCTTGAACTGATAAGAAGGATAAGTAAGCCAGGACCTTCCATGAAAGAAGTCAGCTTATAGGAGCAGAAGACCTTGGTAACTTATTGGCTAAAGCACAGACCCTGTGTTCTCAATAAAGAACAAATTATACTTGGTGTGTTCAGTTTAAGAAGGCAGGGAAGTGTGAAATAGTTTTTCCCATAACAACTCATTAGTGAGGGTATCAAAAAGCCAGAGTTTACTTTACGTATACTTTAGTTTGCTCATAAAATCCTTCTGCTTAATTTATTTAGAAATAGGAAACCAGGGAATAAAAGTAAAAAAGTGGAAAATTATTTTTTCCATTAAGAACCAAAGATGCCTCAGAGGAAAAGGAAGTCTTCTACTGATACTCATACTCTCTCTTTACTTTGCAACTATGTATTACATACTAAAACTTATTTGGTAGTTGATAGATACATATAATTGAGAATTTCCATCAACATACCAAAAGCATTGTTGCTCAGTAAGTTAGATTGATGCGTCATGCCTCCCAAATGGTGGTAATAAGTCCTCCCATGGCCTAAAAGTTTTAATTTTGTGTACTGCTTCAGGAATATGTGATAGGCTGTGTTTTAAGTTTATAATTATGAAACAAAAATACATAATTTTGTTTAGCATTTTCTCATTTTTGAGATTGACTTTCCAGAGTACCCTTCCCACATACAATCTATGACCACCTCTTATTGATTCTACTTCCTAAATGAAACTTTCTTAAATAGATTCTGTTTCTCTGCAGTCCAACTAGAATACTGTCTTTGTAGTGGGCTCTTTTTGCTTGGAATTCAACAAGACCCCTTATCTGGTCTCCCTGTATTCAGTCTTAACCCTCTCAAATTCATTCTTTCCTCTGCATCCAGAAGTTGTTTTAATTGCAGAGTTCCATGAAACCCTCTCAGTATCTTCCTTTGCCCTTAGGATAACTTCCTACACTTAACTTGGTTGAATGTGTTCCATTGCCGGCCTCACTCTTTTTTGCCTGGCTAATTTCTTCATATATTTCAGATCTCTGTCTAAATAACACTTCGTCAGGGCCTCCTTGAATTAAATACCCCTGTCATATGTTTGATGGCATACTTCCTATATGTAGCACTAGTAATTATTGGACTGTGTCTGTCCTCCCCCATGTAGACTCTGTGTAAATAATTAGTAAATAATTTCTGAAGGTTTATCAAGGTTTATCATATTATCAATGAATACCCTTGAGAAAAGATTAAAGAATGAAATTAGATTACAATAAACAGTAACAATTGAAGTGAAAAAGGAGTAATTGCTACCTTTTATAAAGTAATTATTGTATGCCAGGCAATGTGCTAAGTATTTGCTGTATAGTCTCCCATTTAATCCTTTGATTCAGATGACAGTATTCCCATTTTACAGACAGAACAATGTGAGCTTCAGGGAGGTGAAGTAAGTGGCTTAAAGTTAGCACGGATTACAAATGATAGAGTCAAGATCTAAACCCAGGTTTCCTTGTTATTTAGTGAGGGTAGGAACTCTAGCACCCTGCATCATGCCTAGGTTATCTCTTTAAAAAAGGAAGGTAGAGTGCATACCCAAAATGTATTCAAGGCTATTTTTAAAAATTAGCTTTAAATGCAAGTGTGGTTCAATTAAGATCTTCAGGCCAGGTGCAATGGTTCATGACTGTAATCCTAGCACTTTGGGAAGCGGAGGCAGGCAGATGGCTTGAGATCAGGAGTTCTAGACCAGCCTGAGCAACATGGCAAAACCTATCTTTACAAAAGATACAAAAATTAGCTGAGCGTGGTGACATGTGCCTGTAGTCCCAGCTACCTGGGGGGCTGAGGCAGGAGGATCACTTGCACCTAGGAGTTCGAGGCTGTAGTGAGCCGTGATGGCACCACTGCATTCCTGCCTGGGTGACAAAATGAGACCCTATCTCAAAAACAAAAAACAAAAACAAAAAAAATTTTTAAGGTTATTGGTTAAAAAAAATTTTTTTTTTAAGTTTGGAAACTTTCTTGATGAGCTAAAGGCCCCCATATCAGAGCATACCAATTTGATTTTGAAGTTAGTCTTTTTTATATTCCAAATTTAGTTCCTGCGATACCGTGTATAATTCTCCAACTTTGCACATCACCCTCTTGGTGACTTTTCACACACCCACATGAAAACAATGGATGCCATTTTAACGTAATGCTTGGGCATCTCCTTCTTAGATACCAACTCAGAGGATTTCAGTGGCCTTCCATATTTATAATATGCAATATTCAGGCAGCTTTATTTAACTGAAGAAAACTCGTTGGCATTTTCAGTTAACCAGAATCATTTTAGAAAGCAGAGGAAAATTAGAAATGTATCTTTTAAATTAGCGCATTTTAGAGCATGTTCTGTTATTCATATAGATTGAGCCTAATTGGGTACCCTGATGGCCAGTTCAGCTAAGGATAGAAACTGGAATTCACAAAGGCCCTTACCGAAAGACCATGGAACAAAAAATTCTGAGCACATCGACAGAAATTAAGTTTGAAACATCATGTCCAGCAACCCAGTCATTTAAATAGATGAAGATTCAAGCAAATAAAATAGTCCGAAGCAGTTCAAGAATGCAGCCTGTGTGTTGTACTTCCTACAGATACTACCTGAGATGGAGAGACTCTTCTGGCTTATTCAGTCAACAAAGATTTATTATGCAACCACAGCATACCCTTGGCATTCACAGTTTTAACGCTTTCCATTTTAACCATTACATTTGACCCCTGTGACATGGAATTATTTATAACTTTGCTGAGACACAAATTTGAATGTGACTTTAAGATTAATGATAATCCTTTGGGAGGGGCCTGAGTGCCTCAGAATCCATGGAGCTCTGCAGAAGCCGGCTTGTTAAAAGTCTTAAAGGAAGGTCATTTAAATGCTTGTTATACTAACTAAATTTGATGGAGAAAATTATATTCTGTAGTTGTGTTTACAAATTTTAAAACTTGAGAAAGCCACGAAATACATTCTTCAGTGGTCTATGCTCCTTTGTTCAAAATGCTGTTTCATTTCTACTGGCTTAAACTTTTAACTTGCCATTTCTC